CTTCTTAGGATGCAGTACAGTAATTTCAGCCTTGGCTCTTCGTTGGTTGGAAAGTATGACGTTCACTTTTTTTTTTTGTCGCTTCATTGAATTCTTTTGTTGTTTTGCAAATACGGTGCTATGGTACAGAGAAGAGATCTACACCCTGTTTAAGAAATACCTGAGTCAAGTCGGTGTCCGGAACAAAGATTTATAATCAAGATATAGTAATTAGTTGCAATTATTATATAATTTTTACCCTTATGTCTGGCATGGGCTATAATAGTGTATCATGGCTACCTTTCTTTTTTTTTTCACTTTTTTTCATCTTTGTTCATTTATGTTAGACTATTTTAGAATTTGTTGAAAAGTTTTTTTTTCTCACCGTGAGGTGTTTTTTTTTCTAAAATGTTTATGTCTCTCATAAACATGGCTTTATTTTTTTTACTTTTATATACGAGTAAGGGTTTTAATTATGTTGTCGAGCTTAGGTAGAAGAAGTCTGAAAGAAGGGAGAGGTGGTCATAACGGGCAGCAAGGTCCACTGTTGAGAGCCAGGTCATATCCGATTGCAGGAGAGGTCCGGAAGGAGAAAAATTTTGCTATAGCAGGTCAAACATAGGTGCCAAGTTGGTAATCAAGTTAGTTTTAACTTGTAATTTAGATAACAATATGGGCTATGACACTTGTTATTTAGAGATAGTTTTCATACGCTATCTGTCGACAAGTTTAGAGTTTATCACTTACTTTTTGAAATGCCTAGTTGTAAAATTTTACATATTCTAGAGGAATTGTACAAAGCCTAATAAAGCTAAGGCATGATTGCCGAATTATAAAAAAAATATGATAAATTAAATTTTAATAATTACTCTTAATTTTTTTTTATTTAATTATTATAACAAAATATACAAATTCAATTAAATTAAAAGTAGATTATATATTGTATTCTGGATTAAAATTGTTCCAATTCAGAATTAAAATAGTCCCAAATAAGAAATTTGTAATTTTAACCAACATTATGCTAACTATAAACTAAAAAATTTTATTCTAAACCCTAATTCTAACCTAACAATACTAAAGTTCTAATTTTGCAAAAATAATTTTTAAGATTACCATCCGGCCAAGTCCTAATTTGAATAGAGATAATTCAAATCTGGGGTACGACATATATAAAGCTAGTTTTTAAACACATTCTTGAGTCTTATTTAAGGTATTCGTAAATCTGAGTAAAAGTTTAATCAGATAGAGAGATCAGTCAAGATTGTCGAATTTACAATTAAAGTTCTCTAGTTATATAATAAGTAATCAAATAACAGTGGTAAGTTTGCATAATCTATAGTAATCTATTTGATAATAAATCGATTCTAATTAGACTTCTGCAAGTGCCAGGCATGATACCATTAAAACATAGTGCTTGGTAGTCAGACACTATATTTTAACAACACTATGCCTAGCACTTACAAACTTCTAATTCTAATTTACAAACCAAACATAAATATAGTAAAAAGAGAGAATGTACCTGCGGATGAGTCACCAGGGCGACTGCATAACATCTGCTAATCAGAATATAGCTGATGCTACCTGGGTGACTCAAATTAACTTTTTGCAAACATATGATTTGAATAGATCATCAAAAACCAATATAACCACAAAAGGTTTTTTTTTTAAAAAAATGTAAATTGGCTATTTTCAATTGAGGACAGCCTATCTAGAAATTAGAGCTTAATGAATCGAGTTTGTGATTAAGAATGTCAAAATAGGGAATCAAATAAAAATGCCCAGATAACTCCATTTCATAAGATAAAATTTTAAATTTACCTGCATATATAATCAGTATCAGAACATTATACTTATAGAATCCAATAGAATACTCCAATTCAAATCACTAAAATAAAAAAAACAAATATATCACCTATTTCACTAAAATAGATATCACTGATTTTGAAACCCAAGTACTTCAAATAATCCATCTATTAAATTAAAAAAATAAATTATACACCAATAGCATTCCAAAGCCTCATCTCATACCAAAGGTTTTAAAAAAATAATAAATAATAAATAAATAAAATAAATTTATTATATATTTACAAAAAAAGAATCAACTTATAAGAAATCACAGTTGAGATGTTAGAACTTGATTCCTTTTTAACGTATTCTATATATCTAAACACCATTGCCTTTTTAACATATCCTATATCTAGACACTATTGCCTTTTTAACATATCCTATATCAAAACACCATTGCTATGTTTGATTGCTTTGCCAGAATATGCTAAAGGTCAAATATAGTAATTCCTGAGGTAGAAATCATATCCGTCAAGAAAATCTCTATTTGGGTATACCCGATTATCTGGTAATTTATTAGTTATATAATAAAAATGTCTACCCAGGTATAATCTTTAACCTGGGGACCTCTAAAATAATTAAACTATATGCATAGTAATTAAATGAAGATCATTAAAATAGAAACCGTTTTACTTAACCAGCACTTTCAATAATCTGAGCCATATCCAAATAAGTCAACCATATGGTCAAAGCAAATTGGTCGATACGAGAAGCATATTATATTTAGTAATTACAGATTACTTAGCCAATGAACATATCAAAGGTCGAAATTGGTAGTGCCTGAAGAATATAAAATGATTGAATAGTACTATTGAAAATTAAAATCAAAATCATATATTGATAGAAATCAAAATCATACCTTAATAAGTCAGCTATGCATTCAAAGCCAACAAGATTGATGCGAAAAGCATCTTCACAACTCAAATCGCATGATTATTAAAGTAATGAGTGCTATAAAATTAGAATTTTGATTTTAAAAATATATTTAAGCAGTGATTTTTGACCTTCAATAAAGCAGATTTTACAAGATCATACCTTTAACCCATATTTCTAATTAACACCTTAAAAAACTCTAAATATTTATAATTAACAGAAAGTTTCTGTCAATATTAAAGATATATTTGTCGTGTTTGCATATCAATAATGGAAACTAAGTATATTTATATATAAATTAATATTGTTGATTTTTAAATTTTGCAAATCTAAAAAATAAATAATTTATTATAGAAGTACGCTAAGACAATGTAGAAATAGAGAACAGGAATTACCTAAAAAACGTAGAGAACATATTTCAAATAATCAGAATAGGAAGCTCAAGAAGAAAGCTGCAGAGGAATGCGAAAAACAGCTTGCATGTGATCAAGAGCAAAAATGCCAAAAAGCAGAGAAAAATACCACTTTGCTGCAAAAGACAGAACGACCTGTAATAGCAGTAACTATAGAAACAACAGATGAAACTAAAGAGATTATTGTAAGAACATTTGCAACTATATCTCGAAGCGATAATTTTCAAAGTGAGGAGAATATCATATCTGTACCTCGAACTAGAAGTAATATAATAGAAACAAATGTGAAACTGCTAACAGCAACAACAATAAGTGAATTTGAGCATAAATTTTTGCAAAAATTTCAAGATAAAATAAATAAACTTAAGTATGTTCTCTGCTCTATATGCAACGAACGCTTTCCGTCTATAATACTCATTAAAAGAATATGTCATCGTTGCAGTACTGAACAAACCCTGCCAAAAAATTTTCTGCTGAAAATGATATAGACTCAGGTGAAATACCTAATGAGCTTTAAGGTTTAACAGAAGTAGAAGAAATGCTAATAGCACAAGTTTTTACTGTAATGTCAGTATATAATCTTCATGGAGGGCAACAAGGATATAGGGCAATGTTATAAACTTTTGTCAAAATATACAAGAGTTTACTATACACACCTTTCTCAAGATCCAACATCACTAAATATCTTTATAGTACGTTGGCAATCTGCAAATGATTTTTTAGCATTTAGAGACTTTATAGTTCATCGTAGTGCTATTGCAAATACACTAAGCTGGTTAAAGGCAAACAATGATTATTATGCTGATATTGTAATTGACAATAGAATTTTTGAATCCTTACCTCAAGAAGGTTATATTGATAGTCAGCTTCCACAAATTCAAATAAGTCAAGTTATAAATGAATTAGATAATGAAAATGAAAATGAAAACAATAATGATAATATTATATATTCTTTCGTGTCATTTCTCCCACCGACTAGTCACGAAGATATTGCCATTAACAATGCACTTGATCGTATAGAATCAGAAAATTCTCCTATAATATAGTTACATATTGATAGTAATTCTATCAATAAGTTCAAAATACCTGGATATATTGCTCATGCATTTCCAACTTTATATCCAACTGGTAAGGCTGATTTTCTTGCAGGGTGTGCTAAAGAGGTCAAGCCAGCTGAATACTTTAAACACCTGCTCCAATATAAAGATATCAGGTTTGCACGTCACACTCGTTAGTATTATTTTGGATTAAATTCCCAGACGAGGTAGAGAGCATTACAAGAAGAAAGGGTTTATGTTAAGCAGAAGTTGAACGATGATCAGCTTACTATCACAGATATTAAAAATATGATTGTTGAAAGTGACATACATATAGCAGATCGAATCATGCGATTTGGAGAAAGCCTGTATGAAACTCAGCAATACTGGATGGCATGGCATTGTGAACTATCTGATATGATAAAGCAATTAGGTTCACAAAGATTAATATTTTTTACTTTTAGTGCTGCTAATTTGCACTGGCCTGAATTACATAATCTCATACAATCTATAGAAGATTCTAAGGAAGAATCTGCAAATCGCCGTTGGCAAAATATCATTGATAATCCTCATATTGCCGTCTAGTTTTTCAACAAGCATTTTGAACTCTTTTTTAATAATGTATTAAAAAAGAGATAGGATTTAGAGGACTAGTAGTATAGGTTTGAGTGGCAGCACTGTGGTAGTGTCTATGTATATAGTATGGGAAAGAAATGAAATGTATCTGCAATTGAGTGGGAAAAGATGAAAGATGATGAATATATAATAAATGAAGTAATACAATATTTTAATTCATTAGTAACAACCATCAATCTGGAACTCAATGAACCAATATCTGATCATCATCCTTGTCAAAAGCGTTACAATGAGATACATGATGATTTGCGAGATTACATCGATTTGATAAATAAGTTACAAAGGCATACCCGATGTAGTTCTAGATATTGTCTTTGTGTTAATAAAGCCAGTCAGCAATTTTGTAGATTCGGTTATCCTAAAGAGAATAGTGAATACACGTTTCTGCAAGAAGATAATCGCGGAGAACCAAAACTTGTAATAGCAAGAAACAATCTATATATTAATCCACATAGTCGACTTCAATTGCAAGGCTGGAAAGCGAATGTGGATATTAAACCAATCCTAAGTATGTATGCAGCCCTGCAATATATTGCTAAATATGCAAGCAAGACTGAACCACGTTCTGCTGCTTTCTCTAAAATATTGAATCAGATCATATCTGATAGTAGATCTGATGATTTAGTTATTCCAATGGCTCAAAGATTGTTAATTCATAGCATGGCAGAACAAGATATTTTAGCGCAAAAGACTTGCCATCTTCTTCTTGGCATTCTCTTTTATTACTCAAGCCGAATAATTATCTCTTTAAGTTTAAACAAAGAAGCACCATGATGGCTTCATTGTACCAGTAGTAGAGAAAAGAGTAAATTTATACCTATTAGAGACACAGGAATAACATCACTATTATCTTTAATAGTATACTGGGAAAGACTGGTAGAGTTAGAAGACTTTTTATCTATTTAATATAAATATGTGAATAGTTGTTGGAGAAAATATACAAAAGAAAATATTGTACATATATGGCCATACCCGTCATCTTTATACCATGGCCCTCAATGGGAAGAATTTTGTCGAGCCAAAGTTATTCTTCATATTAAGCATTGAAATTTTCAGCAATTAACTGAAGACAGTACTATATAGTGGTTAACCTTATATAGCCACCATTTTGAAGAAATTAATGCTGATCCAATAGACTTGCTTGGCCCTCCTATAAATGAAGTAGAGGAAGCAAATGTTATTGATGATGATGATCTTGGCTAGTGCTCAGCACAATCAAATAATTATTTGATAGTCAAATACTTAGTAAATATTTGATGATCACCGATTTCCAAATCAAATAATGCATAATCTCGATCTAATAAGCTTTGCATATCAAAATCGATATAAGCTTATTGTACTTTCGACCCTTAACTTA